AGGGGTTTAGGGCATGGGGTCGGGACTTAATCAAGGAGATGCAGTCTTTTTCGGTCTTTAGAGAAGACTGTGCCAGGAGGTAACGCTGGAGCAACAGGAGCCGTCTTGTGGCTAGGGAGAGAGACCAGGACCGCCGAACGGGAAGAGAGAGGAACCTAGGCCCACAATGATGGTTGTGAGCTGTGGATTGGTCCACCTTGGGCCCTCTGCTTCTGTAAGACAGACAACTCCTTATTCTAACACATCGTGCACGTGGTCTTCAGTTACAGTGTAAGTGATCGACTTTCTCTGAGATCTACTTACCTCCTGCCTTTGTTTCCCCGCCTCCCGTGGCTCATCTCCGAGTTGGGGCCAGACAGGGCTTCAGACAGTATACACACAGGTGACCCCCACCTGTGTGTCACTCTCAAGAAGCAGGCAGACCAGGGCCACAGGGGCCTGCTGGTGGGCACAACAGGCCAAGAAAGGAAGAAACAAACCTTTCTCTGACCCATGCTCTGACCCCCTTTCTCTGACCCATGCTCTGAGGCTAGAAGTGACTCCTTCATACACACACACACACACACACACACACACACACCTGAAGTCCTGGTGGACACTGGGAGGAAGTGTGTAAGCCTTGGGGCCACAACTATGATCCCCAAACTATCTAGCTAGTCACCATCTGGCTGAGTTCCCTGGCACTGCGGTAACAGAAATATCACAAGGGGGTAGCTCTCAGGAACAGAGATGGGTTTTCTCACAGGCCTGGAGGCTGGACATCCAAACCAGGGGCTGAGCCATGCTGACTCCCCGCCCGCTCGCTCATCAGCAGTCCTGGTTGTTCCTTAGTGACCTGCACATGGCATTGATCTTCCCCAGCTTGTGGGTAGTCTGCATGTAATCTGCTCTTTTGATCTCTCAGAAGTGATTAGGTTTAGGACTCACTCTACACTGGCCTGGCCTCCTTGACCTAATAGAGAAAACCCTATTCTCATATGGGATTGTATCCACAGGTACGGGGTTAGGGTTTCAGCACAATGCAGTCCCTAAGAGTGGTCTTGGGCAAGTCATTTAAGCATCTTGAGCTTTCATCTCCTCATTAGTGACAGATGCTTCACCACAAGGGATTGTTGGAAAAGGTTTTGGTCAGGACTCTGTTAGCTGTAAATAGACACTCCATGCAGACTATCTTCTGCCAAAGAGGTAATTTATTGGCTGTCCCTAAAAAGTCAAGGAGTCCTAGGAGGCTTCAGGCATGGCTGGATCCAGGTGCTCACGTGCTGTCATCAGAATTCGATCTCCCTTCCTTTTGGCTCTCTATGCATTTGCCTTTTTCTTCCATTGGCATTACTTTAGCCAAGCTTTTCATCCACAGCCGTCTTCTCAGCCAACTCAAGTTTGGGGATTAGCTGGGATTTGACCCAGGTGACTCCTGGGCCTGTTCCTATATCCATCAGGTAACCCAATCAAAGGACTCTGCTAATGTGTCAAGCAGGCTCAGCCCTGGATCTGGAGATCGGGCCAGCTCCTGCCTTTGAAGAAATTCAGCCAGACTCCTCCTTAGGAGTGAGGTCTCATGTACTCTAGACATGTTCTCAGGAGGGACCAGTCCCGGGGCATCATACGTGGTGTAGTAGCAGGTCATTGAAAGTGAGGAAGACCCCAACGAGATGGAGACAGCGTGGCTGTCATAAGGGGCAGGGATGGGGAAGGTGACCCAGGACAGGACAGTGTTTCCTTCTCCTGTACAGGGGTTGCTAGGAGCTGGCACCAACTCCGTGACACCTGACACCCACCACCACCACCGGGCCACATGAGCTGAGATGTTATGTGTGTGCTGTATGTGCGGGGGAGGCAAGACCCTAGAGCATCGGTTCTCAACCGGGTCTCTGGGTTGAGACCCCTTTGGGGATCGCATGACCCTTTCCCAGGGGTCACCTTTCCAAGCAAAATGACAGCGAGGAAGTAGCAACAAAATAATGTTATGGTTGGGGGTCACCACAACATGAGAAATTGTATGAAAGAGTTGCGGCATGAGGGAGGTTGAGAACCACTGCTCTAGAGGAAAGTCAAGAAGAGAACTGACCACTAGACAGAGGGACTCTCGGGGCCACCGGTGAGCACTTTCCAGCACCCTCTCTCCACCCCAGGCTTCACTGCAGGAGAAGCCTCGCCCAGAAGGCAATCGCTGAGCCCCATTGACTCCTGAGTGGAGCACTTGTTCAGGGCCCCCGAAGCCCATTGAGCTCCCACTTTCATTTGTAGCACCCATGTGCTTCCCCAACCCCCATTCTGTCCGTCTGTCTCTCCCGTCCTTCCTCCTGGGCTCATTATTCCACTTCAGAAAGTAGCTGATATAGGACCTCAAGTGGGAAGAGAATGCTTTGAAAATGGTGACGGCGGCCTATGTGCAAATGTGCTTGACACCCTGGATGCAAGTATGGATTGTGATAAGAGATGTCAGAGCCCCAATAAAAGTATTTTATAAAAAAGAAAGTAGCAGGAGACAAGTCCAGGAACTCTAGAAGCCATAGACTGCAGGGGAGAGGATGAACGGGGGGAAAGTCTGCAGCCAAGAAAACTTGTTCTTAAGAGGGGAGGGGACACACACACACACACACACACACACACACACACACAGAGCAAAAAAACACAAACCCCAATTAAGTCTGGTGGCAGCAGCTTACAAAGGAAGCGCAGTTGTCAAAAGGGAGGCTGGGACTTTTCAAAGCCCTTACTGGAACTAAACAGAAATGCTGGACTTTTGTTTTGTCTCTCCCCAGAACATGCTCTTTTTGGAACCAAAAGGCTCCGAGGGTGGTGAAAGACCTCGGAGCATGAAATTGTATTACTGGAAATGGTTGGGGCCTTTTGTTCTTGAGGCCGGGGCCTGGCGAGGGTGGGGTGCAGCCGCCAGCCCTGCCGGGCTGCAGCACAGGGATGGGGGGCCCTGAGGGTGGAGGCGGGCAGGAGGGCTGCTAGATTGGCCCTCTAGCCATCCCCGCTACTCAGACACAGACTCAGAAACCCCAGAGAGCGGGGTCAGATGCTCACCAAAGGGAAGTGGGGCTGATGTCTTATCCAAGGCACCAGGAAGACAAGCTTTTAAAAACGCCGCGCATGGGCCCCAAACAGGCAAAGTCCAATGGGCAGACGTGGGCCAGTCACTCCAGGTCTACGGCTCCCCAAGGCATACTCAGCCATTTTTCAATACTGCCCAAAGACCACCAAGCACTCTGACTTATGGCCACCCCATCTGTGTCCAAGCAGAACTACACCCCATAGGGGTTTTTATGGCTGGTTGTTGTTTTTTTTAACTCAATAGGTAGGCCTTTTTTCCAAGGCACTTCCAAGACTTGAACCTCCGACCTTTCAGTTAGCATTTAAGTGCATTCACCACCCAGGGAGTGGGAATGATTCCAGCTGTCTCCTACAGAGCACGCTTTCCTGGTTTCCTAGGAAGCAACCCTATCCTACCACCACCTCCACATCTGCTCCACAACCTTCCATGGCTCGCCATTACCCTGGGGAGCCAGTACAGCACCTTCGCTCAGGCTACCAGGCCTCTCTTTGTCTTTGGCTGAACCTCTCTTTCCCATCTTCCCCTGGGAGCCTCCACTCCAGGAGCATGAATCGCCTCTGCCCCTCCCACGAAACCAGCTGAGTTGAGTCCTACTTCCACAGAAAGGCCAAGAGTGCGTGCCTTTAGCAAACAGAAATTTGTCTGCTCACAGTAGGTTGTTGCTGGGTGCCATCGAGTGGTCTCCAACTCTGAGCAACCCGATGGGCCAAACCCTGCCACGGCCTGTGCCATCCTTACCATCGTTGCTTTGTTTCAGCCCATGTGGCAGCCCTTGCACCCCTTAGTCTCATAGAGGTTTCCCCTCCTTTTCCATGATTTACTTTCTCAAGCCCGATGTCCTTCTCCAGGGATTGATCCACCTGATCACATGCCCAACGCACGAGTCCTTGATTCTCAGGAGCATTCTGGCTCTACTGCTTCTGTCCATCGATGGGATATCCCCAACGTTTAACAACGCCATCACGGGAAAGCATCCACTCTCCATCCATTTTCCAGATTTTGGGTGTGTAGGAGGTGATGAAAAGACCATGGCTTGTGAAATAAACATAATAATTTATAAATTACCATGAGTTCATGAGTGAGGGTGGGGGAAGGAGGGGGAAATGAGCTGATGATACCAAGGGCTCCAGTAGAAAGGAAATGTTTTGAAAATGATGATGAATGGCAACATAGTACAAACGTGCTTGACACAATGGATGTGAGATTGTGATAAGAGCTGTTACGAGCTCCTGATAAAAGGTTAAAAAAAAACAAACAAACCGAAAAGCTCATGGCTTACATCAGGCACATCTTGGTCCTCAAAGTGATCTCCCTGCTGTGAGGTGGTCTTTCATACCAGATTTGCCCATTGCCATATGCCGTTTGACTTCTTGACCATGACTTCCATGGACCTTGACTGTGGACCTCAGTAAAGTGAAATCCTTGCCAGCTCCGATCTTCCTGCATTTGTCAGCAGGGTGCTGTCTGCTGGCCCAGTCGTGAGCTTCCCTTTCTTGATGTTGAGTTGTCACCTGCACGGAAGCTTCCGGTTTGACCCTCCTCAGTGAGTGCTCCAGGTCTTCCTGGCTTCCAGTGAGTGGGGCTGGGTCATCTGCAGATGGCAGGTTGTTTGTGGGTCTCCCTCCAAGCCCGAGGCCGCATTCTCCATGTGGTCCAGTCTCAGATGATTTGCTCAGCATGCAGGCTGAAGGAGGATGGTGAAGGGATAGATGCCTGCCTGCCACACAGCTTGCCTGATGGTAAGCCATGCAGTAGTCTCTTGTTCTGTTGAAATGGCTGTCGCTTAGTCTACAATCTCCAGGAGCACAATGAGGTGTTCCGGAAGTCTCATTCTTGGAAATGTTATCCACGATTTGTTGTGATCCACACAGTAGAGTGCCTTTGTATAGTCCATGAACTACAGGTCCACATTTTTATTTATTTATTTATCTTTAATACTTGTAGCAAGGATTATTATCACACTCTACTCATTGGGTCAGAGACCCTTGCGGTGTTAGCAAAAATCTTGCCCATCATGTAGCACACTACCTGCACTTGTGAGCTCATTGGCCAGCCAGTGGCCTTACCAACGAGCTCTAACAATGTGCAGCTCATCTTTCTTTCTAAAGTAAGGACGGAAAACCCGATGAGTGGTGGGATGACACAAAGTCCATCAGACACGAAGAAAGCAACGTCCACTAAAAAGACAGAGAAGAAAGAAAAGGTCAAAGTGGACATCGGAAGAGACTGAAACCTGGTCTTAATCATAGCATAGCTAAGGCACATGGGAGAAGTGATGACGTGAAATAGCTGAACAGAAAGTCTCTAAGGGCAGCTTGAGAAGACAAAGTCAAATATTACAATGAACTGTGCAAAGACCTAGAATTAGAAAACAAAAAGGGAAGAACATGCTCAGCAGATCTTAAATGGAAAGAACTCAAGAAAAAAAAATTCAAGCCTTGAGTTGGAATAGTGAAAGATTCTATGGGCAAAATATTGAATGAGGCAGGAAGCCTCAACAGAAGACGGGAGGGGTGCACAAAGCCGTGGTACCAAAGAGAGCTAGTCGAGGTGGCACCATTTCTAGAGCTGGCCTGGGATCAAGAACCAATAAGAGCTGAAGGAAGAAGTTCAAGCAGCACTGAAAGCATTAGGCAAAAACAAGGCCCCAGGAATTGATGGAATATCAATTAATATGTTTCAACAAGCTGACGAAGCTCTAGAAGCACTCACCTGTCTATGCCAGATCAGGTCTGACAGACATTGTCTTCAGGCTGCAGTGAGCATTTGGCTGCCAGAATGCCCCCCTGGGTTTCTCATTTGGGGCTACACGATTCCCTGTGGGGGTGGTCCCGTTCATTGTAGGGTACTTCGCCGCATCCTGGGCTCTACCTAACTATTCTCCTGGCTCTGCTGTGGTGAGGCGCCCTCGAGCCGGTTCGGCCTCAGCGAGGAATCGCTGCCCGGTCCCGCGCCAGCCTCACAGGTGTTTCTAGGTTTGAGCCCGTAGTTGCAGCCACGGTGTCCATCGCCTTGTGCCTTCCTCTCTCACCGCCCCTCTGCTTCCTGCTCCGGGGACAGGTCGCTGCTGACCACATGTCTAAAGTACAGGAGGTACAATCTTGCCGTTGTTGCCTCTAAGGAACCTTCTGGCTGTATTTCTTCCAAGACATCTGTCTGTTCTGGCACCATAAATCAAATCAAAATTAGTGCTTCTTCTTCTGTCTTCCTTAATCAATGTCCACCTTTCACATGCCTATGAGGCGGTTGCAGATCCCATGGCTTGGGTCGAGCACACCTTAGTCCTCTAGGTAACGTCTTTACTTTTCAACACCGAAAATGTCTGGTCTTTAATGTCCGTAAGGGCTGGGAAGAAAATGATCACCAGGTAAGGGGCAGGGAGGGGTGGGTTGTGAGGAGGGTCCTAACTAGAATATAAGAGGTATAATCCAGGAGAGGGCTGATGGTGACCTGGACTGTGGGAGCAACAGGGAGTTAAATGCCCTCCCCCCACCCCAGCCCAGCGGCCACGGTGGCTTGAGTGACATCGCAGGGCGCGGGATGATGGCTGCGGCTCTCAGGGCTGGCCGTGGTGCCCAGGCTGCCTCTGCTTTGCTGCAGCTGTCCAGCCGATGTAAACATTTGCAAGGGGCTCGAGCTTGGCTCCCAGTCAGTGTGTAAATAGATGTCAAATCTTCCGTTTTGAAAGGACCAATTCCGTGTGGTTTGTATACATCGCAGAACAGACCAGAGGCTACCCATACAGAAAACCAGTGCCCACCCCCTGCCCCCCACCACACACACACACACACACACACCTGGGATGAAGCCTGGGCTTAGGGATCGATTTCAAAGGTGGAGATGAAATGGATGTCCTGAGGTCAGAAGCGCCTGACAGACAGCAGATGCATCTCCCCATCAGGGGGGCGGAGACTCTCAGGCAGGGAGAGAAACACAGAGTCGAACTCCACCCCTTAAAAAGTCCATCCTCACTGGGCCAGGCGAGACTAGAGGACACCCTAAGACATGCTTCAAACCATGACCTGAATCTGTCTCCTGACATCGCCTTTTAACCAAATAACAGGTGAACGTCCAAACGTCCATAGGAGATCCAGAGACCAACAATGCCTCAAAAGGAGAGGTGGAAGGGGACTGGGAAGCGAGAGTACTGAGAAGGGAGCAACCAGAACCCAGTGGAAGAGAATGCCAGCACGGCGTGGGAAAGGCAACCAGTGCCAGGTATAATGGATATAGAAGTGGTCAGAGCACATTTTCTATGTTTGCCTTTCTGAAGTTTGAATGCGGTGTCCAGGAGAGCAGAGGCCTTAGCACTGACTGGTTGCCCTCAAGTCCAGTCTAACCCATAGTGACCCCATAGGACAGAGCGGAACTGCCCCATAGGGCTTCCTATGGAGTGGCTCATCTCTTTAAGAAGGGCCTTGCTGGTGCAGAAATGCAATGCAGGGAATTATTGAACATGGCTCTTCTAGCCAGAGACTTGGTGTCGCCCACCCAACAACCCCGGTTTTCCTAATGGGTCTGGGTGGGAAAGTGGGGGCAGGCACTCACAGGGCTATGATTCCGCTCTGAGTGATTATTAACAGGGTTGATTGTGATTTGCATCCTGCTGGGCATAAAACCCGCCGTCTCAGAAGCAGCCAGGGGTCTTCTATTATTGACGACAGAGCAGATTCCAGAGTAGAGTGTGTCCTTTGGACTCTGAGATCCCAACACTCTGGACCTCCTTGGTCCAGAAGACGATGCGGCCCCAGAGGAGTGACAAGGAGCAGCAGCAGCAACACCAGGAGCCGGAGCAGGAACAGAGCGGTGGACTTCCCAGATCACAGAGAGGAAGGCAGAGAGCTTTGGGGCAGGCGGCTGGCATGTGGAGCAGGGTGCCTCTGAGCGTTTGGTTGCGGGGAGTGGAGTTTGTTGACCCACAGAACGGAGCTGGAGTGGAGTGCTTTGGGGTTGGAGCTTACAGCAGAGTGGCATGCCTTATGGGTATTTACTGGCAGCCCCCAAAGGGGCTCAGCCAAGTGGCTGAGTCACAGAGAGAGGCTGGCCTGCAGGAAAAGCAGAGGAGAAATTGCCCTGGCTGACATTTCTCACCCGAATTGTAACCTGTTATCTTCCCTAATAAACCCATCATCCTGGGCTTTGTCCACGAGTTCACTGTGGCCACTGTAATGACCGATTGGGCCCAGTCACAGGAATCCAGTGCCTTGGGAGGGATGGTTGGAGGGCAGATCTATGCTGGCCTTGGGACCATGGTGGAAGCTGACATGGCTTCTGATTTCCCTTCCCCCATGTGGAGCTGGAGGAGCAGGTCAGATGTGAGCTGCATGCCATTTTCCAAGTTATTGCTAACAAAAGGTCGGTGGTTCAAATCTGCCAGCCACTCTGTGGGAGAAAGATGCAGCCAGCCGTCAACAGCACACCTCCAGGAATCCTTCCTCAGGCCCCAATTCCATGTATTTAGCTCTCCCCACTCCCCATCAAAATTGTAAGCCTATTAAAAATGAGTTCAGCATTTAGAGGCGGCTATGAAGCTTGTTCAAGACATATGATGAAACACAAGTCATGATCCCATTTTCGGTTTGTTCTGAGGGTAACATTGCTGTGTGGTTTTGAAAAACTCCATTACAATGGAATCAAGGACCCCATTAAGGAATGCAATTTGTCTTGCCGTTTTAAAACTTCAGACATCAACTTCTGGAGATGATATAAGACCCTTGAGCTGGGTATAAGCCTGAGATGTGCTCATTTCACGTTGGCTTGGCATCTGTGTAAGGAGCCCTGGTGGTATAATGAGTTCCACGTTGGGCAGCAACAGCCAGGTCGGCCGTTCCTAGCCCCATACAGACTTAGGGGACTACAAACCCACAGGCGCAGTCCTATCTTGTCCAGCAGGGTTGCGCTGAGTCAGAATTGACTCAGTGGCAGTGAGTGTGATTTGGGGACTTTACATCTTTGTATGACTTCTTCACATCACTTTCACCCATCCTCTCCCATTGACACACTCAAGACCCTTGGGGCCAAGCCATCTCTTATCACTAAGAGATGTTACAGATTGGGAAGGAGAATCCAGAAATGGAAGGCCTTCAAGCTTCATGTGTGTATATATTCTAACATGTTAGAATTTAAGACGCGATCCCATTTTTGTCAAACGTGTGTGTGTGTGTGTGTGTGTGTGTATATATTCTAACATGTTAGAATTTAAGACGCGATCCCATTTTTGTCAAACGTGTGTGTGTGTGTGTGTGTGTGTGTGTGTGTGTGTGTGTGTGTGTGTGTAAGCTTGGGCAAAGTCTGAAAAGCTGCCCCACCTCCACTGGAAGGGGTCACTTGCATGATTGGGGTTGACACAATTGCTGTTGTTAAGTGGGTTGATATTTGACACATGGTGACCCCATGGGTCAGTACTACATGACAGTCGACTTACACTGTCACGGATATAATGGCTGCAGCAATGGGCTCAAGTGCACAATAATTATGAGCATGACGCAGGGCCAGGCCGTGCTTTGTCCTGTTGTAGTCATTGTGTTTCAGATTCAACTCCACAGCCCCTCACAACAACAACAACAACACACTTTCCAGAAGCAGGTCCCCGGGGCTTTTCGCCTATGGAGCTGCCGGTGAGTTTGAAATGCTGACCTCATACATGGGCTGTGCTCTCTCGAGAACAAAACGAGTGACTCTTGTTTGTGGACATAGACCGAAAGAAACTTATGTCAGGAAACAGCTCCCACCATGGTGGAAGTGGTTTGAGTCTGTGGGTCTTATGTCAGCTGGAGGCTTCTCGTGACTCCTGTAGCTGCAGGGGCGGACAGACAGGAAGCGGGAAGATGAAGCTGGGGGGCCACTGCGTGGCGGATGCAGAGCCGAAAGGATTCGGGAGGCCAGCTGTCACTCATGGCTCCTGGGAGCAGCGGCACTCGAACGAACAGGAGGTTGACAAACCAGATGCAGGGTCCAGATCCAGCAGTAGAAGTGAGCTCGCTTCCACACACTGTCCTTCTACACTAAGAGTAGGCTGAGTCAAGCATTTACCCAGAGCCACGCTGCTCTCATAACAGTGACTTCCGCTTCACAGAAGATCCCTCCTGGA